ACCGTTTTCTCCCATGAAAGTACCTGCTCTCTAGCAGGGACTGAAAAGGGGGTGAAAAGACTCATGAACTAAGTTTTAGTTCCGGATTTCTTTTGGTGTGAACGCACATTTTCGGAACTAAAGTGGGAAAAGTACTCCGGTGTGAAAGCGCCTATTGTAAGGTTTAACTTGTAGACTGACAGATTATTAATAAGCAGTTGTCTAAAATGTTCCAAAAGTGCTAAACTTCCCTTGGGAAATTATACAGAAACACAAAAACGTTCACATCATTTGGGATTTTATTTGATATTCTTTGCTATAGTATTTTTGTAAACATTAAAAGGCAGTGACCTCATTGCAAATACATGATTTTTTACTAGAAAATACATTACAACATTATAAAATATATAATAAACAGTTGCAATAGATTGTGTTAAGTTTATCAGCTACACTTCACAAGAAATACAAATCCTCCTCTGTTCTCCAGGACTTATTTCCAGCTGTACACGCAGAACACGTCTGTATTTCTCTCATGACAATACTTATTTATAAGTAACAAGAGCTATAAATCACATTCTATCAGAATAATAAAGTCTACAGCACTACACGTTCTGTTTATAATGTATTTCTATACATTCTACTGTAGACAACAGCTACACATGATCACTATGCTACTATAATGCTGTTTTAGTGCTTTGCACGGAACCTTTCGTAGGGGTTAGTGCGCTGATCTGCAGACAGCAGTTCAATCCCACAGCCAAAGTGTCCTTGAGCAAGAGATGTTACCCCAAATTGCTTCTGCAGGCATGTAGTCTATATTGTATTGAGTGTATGTACGTCGCTTTGGATAAAAGCGTCAGCTAAAAACCATGTAGTTAATAAACCGCTGCCTTCGTGTAAAAATAAGTAAAGTGAGGGTGGATTATCTGACTGTAAAGGCAAAGAGAGAAAGTGAGAAGGAATAGGGTGAGAAGTTTATGAGAGTTACCTAATTAGGCATCTAGTTTTAACAGTAAATTGTTGTATTGCTTTTGGTAGGTATGTTTAGTTGTTGTTAATGTCACAGGTGTCTGAAATCAGGAGAACTGTTGTGCCAAAAGAGAAGAAGAAGCAAAATGAATGTCACACATTGTATATAAAAAAAAAAATTAATTTCAATAGGTACTTTATTTAAAATAACATAAGTTGCAAGTTTTATTCTTGCTTTAATTTGTGTTTCTTTTCAACAATTCTGCTGTGTGTATGAAATATAATTCACAATCTATAAAAAAGGATACATGTATCCTTAGCCAACACTCTGTTAAAGGTAATCAAATCTTACCTTTCATTGAACGGCTGTTTGGCAAAATGAAGTTGCTCCCTCACCACCGTCCCAAACACCAACATCTGCTTTTCAGTGTCAATTACACACTGAGGAAATACAATATAACAACAAATCACTCATCAAAAAGCTATTTGTTTTGGTGCAAAATTAAAGACAGGAAGTATATATGCATACACAAAGCTGTTTGGTAGCATGTTTAATGTGCAGCTGCTTTTAAAAAGTAATACATAATCAAATAAGATATATATATTTAATAAGGAGCAAAATAGTCTGGGATCTATGCAGTTTATTTTCTAGGGTTAGGGTTAAATGTTCTTCCGCATAAAGGGACAAAAGGTTAAATTGCATTTTGCCTATCAAATAAAAATACATTTAAATGTAATTTAGTAGCAAAAAAGTCATGCGTACAAACTCTTAGCCATGTATCTTAACATCCCTGTGTTGCTGATGATCTTAAATGATTTACCTTTAGTGATTTTAACGTCTTGTTTCCCAGGGACATCAGTGGTCTGTTACTCTCTGCAAAATAAATTGTGAAAAATGCATTTAAAGCACTGGTTACAGAAACAAAA